CCCATAGCCTTTGCAGTATCCAGTGCCTCCAACTGTTTCTTGATATCATGTGGACTGAATCGAAATGGCTGAAGAGCAGTACCCGTGATGCTGGGGACCTCTGGAGGAGGCCAACATGGATCATCCACCCAGCACTTCTGGCTGAACATTTTTGCAAATGCTTCAACCATATCTTTTGCACTGATGCACTGGGCTCCCCCATCACTGGGGATGGGAATATTTGTGGATGATCGTCTTGACCTGTGATGTTTGGACTTTGAGATGGATGGGAAATAGTGATAATAGTGATAATGATAATAATAATGTGAGATGATGCACGACGGTGCAAATAAGCAAAATTGAACTACTGGAATAATGTAGACTAAGTAGAGAAAAACTGGGGGAGGAGGGAAGGGAGTGAGATGTAGTTTAATGAGATTCATGTAAGTTATAATGGTGTAACTGATCGCATGACTCTGACATCAGTGAGAGAGAAGACTTCATTCTCGAATGAGAATGGGAGGAGAAAATACACTACAGAGCCATATTTGAGAATCTACTATATACAGATAGAAATGAAGGAGCACGACAGTAAGGAGTTGAAGACTTTTTACTGATAGATAAGGGAGAACCAGCCTCAGGACAGTTTATGTGCAGACATCCATAGCCTTAAATGATCCACACAAGTATCTCAACATGCAAGTAGCAGCACTGGCTTAAAGCACAAGATAAAGCACCATGTCCCGACATATGCCCATTTCTATTTAATAATTTTCTTCTTAAAGCATTTATCTCATCCCCTCTTCAATATCACGATTGCCTCAGTTTCATTAGCCACTTTCAGTAATGCAGTCCACATCCAAAGTCACCTTTAGAACTGAAAATGTTTCTTCTTCGCTCTGTTTTATGCTTTCATGTTTTAATCCACATTAAATCTCCCTCCCATTATTAATTCGCCATCCAATAGTCATTCATGTCATTGAAACTTTTTATAACTTGGCATATTCCTATTAGATCCTACTTATAGCTTTTCTGCTCCAATGAATCCAGCCTTAGGTTTTTAGTTTCCATCTTTCTATCCTTTACATCTTCCTATTGGATGTATCTATTGCATTTTCTATTGGAACCGAGAAAATTATATCCCTTTAATTGTCTATGTTTAAAAACGTCTTACCATTCTAAGGTTAATACCACTTTTAAAAAGTTTACTGGAAGACCAAAATAATTATCTTGTTGAAAACAGACAATATTTATGCTAGAGATTGTGAATTCAGTTAATGTGTAGAGTTGGATATGAATATCTGTGGCATGTGATTTATATTCTGTGTGGGCTGGGCTGCTCAGTCACAAGCAGCAAAGTTCAAAGTGAGTGATAATCATACCACGATGGGGTATAAATTTTGGGTAGTGTGTCTTCATAATGTATTCTGTTTCAATAATATATTTATAATGTTTATAATTTTGCACATTTCCTAATCGATGCAGGAAAATGCTGGCATGGCTGGGTCAGATACAACTCCCAAAGTTCAGGGTAAACCTGCCAAAACTGCTCCACTGGGAGGTTTGCCTGCCATCTCAGAAGCTGTTGTCAGTAAATTGATGATTTCTAAGGTATATATTTTAAACAGTAATGTTGTAAATTAGCTAGTCAGGTCAATTGGCTAAAGATAAAGGAGGTTGCAGTGGGACTGGTGAGCTGCCACCAATGTGATTGGTTGATAGGTCGGGGAAGCAGAGGAGGTGCAGAAGCCACAACCTTATTTCCTAGTCAGCCTGTAAATCTGCTTGTGGCTCCTGACCCTGCAGTGGTGGGCTTGCCCCAACCTCTCAGCCAGATATGGTTCCTATTTATTTAATCTGGAGTACTGTGGGCAGGTTTGGTCTCCTTATCTGAGGAAGGATGTTCTGGTTATAGAGGAAGTGCAGCGAAGGTTTACCAGACTGATTCCTAGGATGGCAGGACTGACACATGAAGACAGACTGTATTGGTTAGGACTATATTCATAAAAACATAGAAGATAGAAACAGGAGGAGACCATTCGGCCCTTTGAGCCTACTCCACTATTCATCACGATCATGGCTGATCGTCCAACTCAACAGCCTAATCCTGCTTTCTCTCCATAGCCTTTGATCCCATTCGCCCCCAAGTGCTATATCTGGCTGCCTCTTGAATACATTCAATGTTTTGGCATCCCCTACTTCCTGCGGTAATGAATTCCACAGGCTCACCACTATTTGGGTGAAGAAATGTCTCCTCATCTCCATCCTAAATGGTCTACCCCAAATCCTCATACTGTGACCCCTGGTTCTGGACACACCCACCGTCGGGAACATCCTCCCTGCACCAACCCTGTCCAGTCCTGTTAGAATTTTATAAGTCTGTATGAGATCCCCCCTCATTTGTCTGAACTCCAGCAAAAACTATCCTAACCTAGTTAATCTCTCCTCATACATCAGTCCCGCCATCCCTAGAATCAGGCTGGTAAATCTTTGCTGGAGAATGAGGGGGGATCCCATAGAAACTTACAGGGTAGGTGCAGGAGGGATGTTCCTGATGACCAGGGAGTTCAGAACCAAGGGTCAAAGTCTAAGGATACAGGGTATACCATTTAGGCCTGAGATGAGGAGAAATGTCTTCCCCCAGAGAGTGGGGAGCCTGTGGAATTCTCTGTCACAGAAAGCAGTTGGGACCAAAGCATTGAATGTTTTCAAGAAGGAGTTGCATGTAGTTCTTAGGGCTAAAGGGATCAAAGGGTTTGGGGAGGAAACAGGAACAGGGGGCTGAGTTGAATGTTCAGCCATAATCATGTTTACTGTCAGAGTAGGTTTGAAGGGCTGAATGGCCTACTCCTCCTGTTTTCTATGCTTCTATGTTTCCAACATACACCGACTGCTGATGCTACTCAGTTTGGGAGCCTGGCACTTTCCCTGTGCTGCTATCAATCATTTTGTTTGATTGCTCATGTACCACTCCCCCTCCCCAAACCTTGCCCAGTAACAATCCTGGATGCTCACCTCCTCCCTAGGTCTGAAATTGGTCCAACAATCAATCATGGAGCAAACAGGGACCCAATAATCATACAGAGATGAAAGCCATTGATAGTAATATTAAACATGATTTCCTGACTAATCTGTTGATGAATGCTAATCTGGCAATTCTCAAGTCTTTTCACAGGATCAAATGCACTTTAACAACCTACCTCATAATATTCTATGATTGTGGTTCGGCAATGGTTCCCCATATAACCTGGCTTTGATTTATAAATGGCACTGGAGAACATTTACATCCAGAAATCAGGTCCCATGGTGATGATAAGAAAACCAATTTTAAAGAGACTCACTGGCTTGTATTCTTTTTTCAAACATACATTGAAAAGTCTTGGTAATGGGCTTTGGTTCATCGTGCAAAACATCACACACATACCAACAAGGAATAAATGCAGGCCACTTGGCCCTTTGAACTGTTCTGTCATTCAATAAGATCGCAGCCGATCTGATTTTAACCTCAACTCTACATTCCTGTATATCCCCCGATAATCTTTCATCCCCCTTGGTCATTAAGAATCTGTTTCCCTCTGCCTTAAAAATATTGAAAGAATCTGCATCCACTGCCTTTTGAGGAAGGGAATTCCAAAGACTCACAACCCTCAGAGAGAAAAAAATGTTTCCTCATTTCTGTCTTAAATGGGCACCCCCTTATTTTTAAACGATGATCCCACGTTCTAGATTGTCCCACGAGAGGAAACATCTTTTCCACATTCACCCGGTCAAGTCCCCTCAGGATCTTACATATTTCAATTAAGTCACCTCTGACTCTTCTAAACTCCTGAGGATACAGGCCCAGCCTGTCCAGTCTTTCCTCATAAGAAAATCCGCTCGTTCCAGGTATTTGTCGAGTAAATCTTCTCTAAATTGCTTTGCTTCCAATGCATTAACATTCCTCCATGAGTACAGTGATCTGTACTGTACATAGTACTCCAGATGTGGTCTCACCAATGTCCTGTACAACTGAAGCCTAACCTCCCTCCTTTTGCATTCATTTCCCCTCATAATACAACATAACGTTCTATTAGTTTTCTCAATTACTTGCTGTACCTGCAAACTAACCTTCTGTGATTCACATACTGGGTCACCCAGATCCCTCTGCACCTCAGAGCTCTGTGACCTCTCACCATTTAGACAAATGCTTCTTTTATATTCTTTCTGCCAAAATGGACAGTTTCACACTTATCCACATTGTACTAATGTGCCAGATCTTTTCCCACTCATTTAACCTATCTGGATCCTTTTGTAGGCTCTTTATGTCTTCTTCATAGCTCATTTTCCTACTCATTTGTGCCATTCACAAATTTGGTAAGACAATTCTGGACTCTAGTCCTGGACTCACCCACAAGAGGAAACATCCTTCCCGCAACCACCTTGTCATGACAATTTAGGGATCTTATACACTTTAATCAATTCACACCTTATTCTTCTAAATTCCAGCGGAACAGCCCAGCCTGTCCAACCTTTCCTTGTAAAATAACCCGCTCATTCCAGGTCTCAATCTATTAAACTTCCTCTGAACCATCTCCAATGCATTAATATCCTTCCTGTAGTAAGGAAACCAAAACTACACCAAGTATTCAGATGTGCTTTCAACAGTGCCCTATATAACTGAAGCATGATCTCCTTACTTTTGTGTTCAATTGCTCTCATAACAAAGGGTGACATTTTAATTTGCACCCATTTTACATCTCTTTTTTCTTACCATTAACGTTGCCTTTGTCTTTTGCTCTGGGCCTCGACACTATGTATTCACTTTGCCCCTTCTCCTTTGTCAAATGTATAAAAAAAATTTTCCAACACTTTTCAGTTCTGAAGACTCCTACTGGACTGGAAATGTTAATTCTGTTTCTCTCCCCAAAGATGCTGCCAGACCTACGGATTTTGCTGAATTTGTTTCAGATTTTCATCAATTTCTATATAAAATAATTAAAAAGCTCCAAGACAGTAATCCAAAGTTTTGTTCTTCTTTGCAGGTGATGTTTACAAGCCACAAGCTTTCCCTTGAAAGTTCCTGACCGTATCTGGACTCCCTTTAAGAAGCAACCTTCTTCACAAAACTTTTTTTCTATTTGCCTCAGAATAAACTGTCAAAAAGTTGGAAAATAGAATTTACAACGCTGTACAGTAATATCTCAATTCTAACAATCAAAACTCCCTATAATTGTTGCAATAAATATCCAGACTTCCTTGGATGGGGGTTATTTATGTTGAAAAGTTGGTTTTGCCACATAGACCAGCAATGTCACAATTTTGATCTGTGGTCTGTTCTGAGCTCATTGGTAGCAACCAGGACAATGATAAGGATGCTTTAGGTTTCCTCAGTGTCCATTGGTAAAAGAAAGGAAAATCAGCTAGTTTTTCCAATCTTCTTTACTAAGCAATCTGTGTGGGAAGGTGCACATATAGATGTCAGATGAGGAAACCACCACCAGAGAGTGATGAGCCTGTGGAATTCTCTGCCACAGAAAGTGGTTGAGGCTAAAACATTGAAGTTTTTCAAGAAAGAGAGATGTAGTTCTTAGGGCTAAAGGGATCAAAGGATCAGAGAGAAAGTGCAAACAAGGTACTGAGTTAGATGATCAATCATGATCATATTGAATGGCAGAGGAGGTGCAAAGGATTGAATGGCCTACTGCTGTTCTCACTTTCTACATTACACTGATACCTGGACTTCATGAGTTAGTTTATAAGGAGAAACTAGCATTTTATTGTTTGGAATTTAGAAGGTTAAGGTGTGATTTGGTCAGAGTCTTCAAGATATTAAAGGCAACAGATAGGGTACTGTTGCCATTCTGGACACCCTAGTTGGTACATACTGGCTCAGTTCTCTGAATCACATTTTCAGCAATCGAGTAGCTTGCTCTATGTCTGTTTTTGTGCTTATGTGGTTCTGATTGACCTTTGCTCTTTATCAGTGGTAAGGTTCCTCAATGGTGTCATCAACTACAGACATAGAAGGCAGCCTTTGGCCCTGGCTTGTATCATAACAAACTCCGTTGAGGTGACAATGCCAGAAGAAATCAGAAATCCTAGGCCCTGGCCCTAAACTTAGCATCTCTCATTTTCGCAGGGGTGGGATTGGGGTTGATCCTGGGTTTGTGCATATGTGGTTCCCAGAGACAGCTAGCCTTTTAAGTGAGCACTTGCCTCCACTGAAATCAGATTTTAGAGTCCCTAGTGTTTGGTACATGACATATGGTAATTAGAGGGGAGGTGGTAGTGTATTGGGAATGTCACTCGACTAATAATCCAAAGATTCCAGACTAATGTGATGGGGACCTGTGAAAGCTGGTGAAATTTTAGTTAAATTAAAAAAAAACTCCCCAATGGTGATCATGTAACAAAAAAGTGTCTATTGCTGGAAAAACCCGTTTGGTTCACTGATGCCCTTCAGGGAATAAAATCTGCTGTCCTTACCTGGTCTGGCCTACTTGTGACTGCAGAATCACTGTGATGTGATTGACTCTTAACAGCCCTCTAGGCAATAGATACTGAGCCAACTAGTGATGCCCAGATCCTGTGAACAAATTAAAAACAAAGAACACATCCTGTTCTCAATACATTTTTTTTTGAATAGCTAGTGCACCCGTTTGGGGATCCCTACAGATATGTTCGCAGAAAACCTTGGAGGTAGTGGTCAGGGATCCTTTAGGACAGTTAACTGTGGAGGAGATTGTGTGTAAAATGTGCTTTAAACAACTAGGAATTGTCCAACTTGTCAAGATTTGTCCAGATGTGTCAACAAGTAACAAGCCGTTGAGAAGTGGTTACAAATATCACCCCATCAATAAGTGCCAAGGAATGTCAACCTATCAAGAATGTCAACAAATCTCAACATGTCAAGAACAAAGTTCCCTCTAAGCTGCACGTGCAATGGTGATAGGCGTCGGCACACTGATCACGGAATTGACTTTCAGTTCCAGAAGTCGCTGCTGCACATGGACCTTGAAGGCTGGTACAGCTGTAAAGAAAATGGGAGAGAAGGCTGATCAAGAAGTGGTAACAAGTGTTGGCCTGTCAAGAAGTGTTAACAAGTGTTGACCTGTCAAAAAGTCTCAACAAGTGTCAACCTGTTGAAGTGTCAATCAGTGTCGACCTGTTGAGAAGTGACAACAGGTCTCAAATTATGTTTTTTATGAATTGGAGTGCATTTCTCAATAAAGTATAGTCTGCAACACAGAACTTTATTTATAGAACTATTTTTTCTCCTATGCGTGTAGGTATTTGTAGATACTGAATGAGATGACATGATAGGTGAAGGGGAAATAGTGATGGTTGGAAGTAGGCACTAAATTGACATAGGTGTATGAAGAGCCATGAGGGATGGCAAGAGGGCATTAATTTGCATGGATGGGACATGTAAATAGTGTAGTGATGAGGAAGGTGAGGACCAGATGAAAGTTTTATATTTCTCCACTTTTGGAGAGGTGAAGTCCTGGGTGACCCTGCCAAAGGTGAGGCACCCTTTGAAGTTGTGAAAAGATATGTTTGTGCCAACATAGGATGGGACTTGATTGTCAAGGAACTACCCAAAGAAATTTGTGGAATTTGAAAGAAAAGAGGTCACGCATTTCAACTTTCTTGTCCACATAAGGTGTTATAGGATTTGTGCTGCATGAATGATTTCCCAT